AAATAAATTCTCCTTTGAATGTTTTAATATCCACAGAATTCAACGTTTATGTTGTTAGTCCATCTTTGTTGTAATTAATTTTCTTATATTTCTTATAAATTATCAAATTTTTATTGTAAATCCCTTTATATTGTCTTGTAAATCACCTGATTTTTATTGTAATTCCCCCTTATATTACTGTTAATACCCTTATATTTATTGTAAATTGCCTATTTTTCATTTTAAACTCCAGTATGTAAATTTTAGCTCTTTTTTTTAAAAAAAAAAAACTGAAAGGGAACTTGTACATTTTTTTAAAGAAAAAATAACAACAAAACAGGACAACTTCTCCATTACTAGTGTCGGCTTTCCTAAAACAATTGCTTACCAAAGAAAATGAATTAAAATGAGTCACAAGTCTGATAGCATTTTTGAGGACGGGGCCCAGATCATTATTTTAATGTTGGTATTTTGAATGTTTTAATATCCAAAGAATTCAACGTTTGTCTTGTTAGTCCACCTTTGTTGCCATTAAAAAAATGGGCCAATCTTTCAGCCCAAGAAATGAGACGTCCTACAACTTCTTCCTCAAGAAATGCACATTGAATACTCAGAGGAGAACTTCTATAAAAAAACCAACGCTCACATAGCTATGATCTCATGAACCATATAGAAAGAGCAGAAGCAACTCATGGAAGATAAAAGAAGCCAAGTTGTGCTTTTGGGATTTTGGGCAAGCGGCCCTTGCACAAGGGTTGCTCTAGCCCTTAAACTTAAGGGCATACCTTACAAATACGTGGAGGAAGATTTAACAAATAAAAGTGAGTTGCTGCTGAAGAACAATCCTGTCCACAAGAAGGTTCCAGTGCTCTTGCATAATGATAAAGCGATAGCTGAGTCACTTGTCATCTTGGAATACATCGATGAGATTTGGAATCAAAACCCAAAACTCTTCCTCATGATCCTTACCAAAAGGCAAAAGTTCGTTTCTGGGTCAATTATTTTGATCAAAAGGTGAGTATAACTCTCCTTATCTTGCAAAAATTTAGTCTAATTAATATCACTTTGAAGTAATATACTCCTTCTGTCTTTAATGTATGACCTAATTATTGAGTTGATTTTGGTTCTAAATAAAATCTGTTTCTCATATTTATCAATTTTTTTAAATTATTCCTATTTTTACTCCCTCAATTATAATCAAGTAGGAAAGGGAGGAAGAATATTAAGAAAGTGATGGTGGTATTTTAGGAAAAACACGTTATATTTCTTATAATTAATTAATTTAATTGTCTAACTTTCTTAATTTAATCGAATTAGTTAAATAGGTCTTATATTAAAAATGAAAGGAGTAATATGTTTGAACAACTATTATGCCAATAATTTTCATTTTTTAGAGATTCTAATAAAATTAACATCGACCTGGTCCTCAGATCCCTCCAGCTATCTACCCCATCTTCTTATCAAGAGGAGAAGAAAGAAAGAAAGCAATTGAGAATTTGAATGAGATGATTAGAGTCTTTTATGAAGGAGTGAAGAAAGATTTTGCAGAGGAATTCCCTTATTGTGAGGGTAAGTCCTTGGGGCTACTGGATATTGCGGTGGGAGCTCGTGCTTGCAACTACAAGGTTCTCAATGATGCCTTGGGAATGGAGGTGATTCAACGCCACATGAACTCAGAGTTCTTGTCATGGATGGATGCCCTGAAGAAACATCCTCTGATGAAAGAGACACTGCCCCCTCACGAGAAGCTTGTGGCCAAATTCATAGAGAAATTTGGTCCTATTAACTAGTTTAATTTTCGGCTTGTTTTGGATCAACTTATTTTAAGTGCTCCCAAACAAGCATAATTAATATATCTACTCCAAATAAAAAAAAATGTATTTCCTTTTGTTTCGTATATCTTCATAATTGATGGTTTGTTGTAAAATAAAATATTAGCAACTATTTCTTGTATGACAAGAAAGTTGCTCCTCTTGCAGAAAAATAATTGGTTTGTTTATTGGATGACGTGTCTGATGTTGCTTGGGAAAAAAAAACAGAGATTTCTGATGTTATCTTGGATGTATAAAATTTGATTCGATTGCCTCCATTTTCGCCCAAATGATAGTTTTTTCCTTCAATTTGTTTAATGTTTTAAAATACAAGTACTATCAAATAAATCTCTAATTATGGAAGAAGAAAATCAATGCATGTGCTCTTGTCAAAATTGAAATAAGTTATATAAATAAAGTTGCTGTAAGAGTTTCAGAGGGGAACGGGAAATAAATAAAACATCAGTTTTGCAGAAGGAATGGGTCGAGAAAGATCTGAGTAGTATAATTACATCCTTCTTGGCCTTTTGGCTAAGATCAAGTGTAGTGTGCAGTTATGTCAAATTTCAATTTAAGACTACCTCCTGTCCTTAATATAAGAGCTAGTTTATTACTTTGAGTAGATTAAAGAAAATAGTTAAGTTAATTATTTGTAATAAATATGTGTTGTTTTTTCTCAAATATCTTTACTAATCAAGTGTATTAGTTAGATCTACTATTATGACAACAACTACCTTTATATAAATATGAGTAACAAAGTAGATTAGTATCTTATATTTAGAATTAAAATAAAAACCAAACAAACTCTTATATTAAAAACTGGGGATAGTAAGAAAGAGGAATAATTTTCTATTCGTTTAAGAAATTCACCAAGCGCATACGTTATATATACAGCATATAGAGTGAAATAGATAAGCATCAATCTTCAAAGAGTGTGTGATAGTACAAGTCAATCTTCAAACTCCAGCTTTCTGAGGATAAGCTTGCATTGAGCTTATTATTATTAATCAGGATTCAAAAAAGACATATTCATGGAAACTATTTCCACCAAGAATCCAAATCTTTACTTAAGCGTAATGCCCATTACAGTTATAATATTGTAGCTGGCAATCATTAATAATTTTGCATTTAAAATTCAACCAAAGCACAAGACGAAGTTGAGCCAATGTTACTCAAAACTGACACAATAGTAATGGACATAGTTGTATAGTGCACTTTGTTGGTATGATTGAACAACCAAGAAAAGGATGAACTGAGTATTATAAAAATTTTACAAATGATAAAATAATCAAACCCCATTAATATGAACATGATAGAGTAGAGAAGATATTACCTATCACTTGAGGGAATAATAAGAAAAAATATATACAGCAATTTATACTAGTTCGGTCCAACCTGACATATATCTGATCTACAAGTTCTACCTAAGAGTTACTAACACGTTGAGGTTACAAGCTTGTTAAGTGAGATCGAATTCACAACCCTTTGCTTATAAAAGAGCTCATACTAAGTCACAAGGCTATTGAGTTTGGTTGATTTTCATTTCAAACAAAAACAAAACCAAATCGAATCAATCCATCTCCGGAAATTACATCGCTATTCAATTTCAACTAATTTTCTTCATATGAAATGTAGTTTTCTTTCTATAAGTAGAAAAAATATTGTTGCGAACTGAAAATTCTTGTTCTTGCCATAATATTCAAATCATTATAAAAAATAATCTTGAAAACATAAATCGTACCCTTAAAAATCAAATACCCCTCATGTTCTTAATGTAAAACCTATTTAACTAATTTGATTAGATTAAAAAAGTTAGATAAGTTAATTAATTATAAGAAATATGATATTTTTTTAAAAAATACTATAATCATCTTTCTTAATATCCTCACTCTCTTTCTTATTTGATTATGGTTGAAGAAGTGTCAATAGTGATACTTTAAAAAAAATTGATAAATATTTAAAATACATTTTATATTTAGGATTAAAATTAATTTACTAATTAAATCTTATATTAAAGACAAGAAGACTAAAGTATGGATATTGATAGGGCCTACTAAAATCTTTAAATAAAAAATCATAATGGTCAAGAGTCGTGTTGGGTTGGGCTTTATTGAACAATCGTAAATCTGGGCTTAAAGCATTCTTGCTGTGGCAACTTTGAATAGGTAAGATATAATATTCTATAAATATATACTCTAATATTAAATAAATCTAAATTATTCAAATTTAATTTTAACTCCCCAACCTAGCCTTCCAATCTAGGAAAAGGAGATGCAAGTTTAACGAGGTGTTTGGATACCCTGAAAAGTGCTTCTCAGAAGTAATTTTTCGCAAATCGAGATAAACTCATCTACAAATTTACCTCGTAGATTGTAAAATCACTTCTGAAACCATGGTTTGATTTTCATCCAAACACCCCCAAAATCCTCTTACCATCAATTAAAAGCAAAGTGATTTTATACAAATTGAGATAAATTTTTTTTTCACATGCTCATCTTATTATATTATCCATTTTGATGTCAAAATGTGATTGCCACACTTGTTAGTATAAATAGCTGATATCAAACATATAAAAAAATTACTGATATCCAATTTTAATATTTTAAATTTAGAAATTTATTTACATGTGTTTTTATATTGAAAATGTAATATTATACTAACATTTTTATAAAATATTAAATACTACCTCCGGTCCTAATTATAAAAGCTAGTTGACTAATTTGAGGAGATTAAGAAAATAATTTAAGTTAGTTATTTTTAATAAATATGTGTTGTTTTTTTTAAAATATCCTTGTTAATTAAGTGTGTTGGTTAAAACTACTATTATTAGAAAGACTATCTTAGAAAAAAATACATAAATATTAGAGATAAAATAGATTGAGACTTTATATTTATGAACAAAATAAAAATCAAATAAGATTTATATTAAGAACCGGAGGAAGTATTATTTTTTTTTACCAGAAATATTAAATTTTAATGATTAAAAGTTGATCTGATTACAGAAATAAAAAGTAGAGAAAAAATGAAGGGGAGAGAAAGGACCAATTCATTGTACATGGGGTCAAACAGTATTCATGGAAAGAATGGGCCCCGCGGGGCCGGTGATCCATCGGTCTTTGGCTAAGCGGCGCCGTCCACGCCTCGTTATTATACAGACAAAATATATTAGTTGGTTTCTCTATACGAGCTTGAAGATTCACAAAATATTCTTCTTCCCTGTAATCCGTTTTCCAGGTTGAGCATGGAGAAGAACAACGGGGAAGTCAAGGAAGAATTCAAGGCCCCGAGCGATGGCTCTATTTGTGGATTTGATTCCCTCCATCGCCTTCTTCAAGAAAATCTCAAGCCCCATCACTTTCAGGTATTTTCAGTTTTGAAGTCAACTTGTATTTCTTTCTGGTTTCATATTTAAATTAATCTCTCTATGTATGAATCTGTCCTGGATTTCCAATGAGGATCCTTGGGTTCACGCCTTCTCTTTTTAAAAGGCGATAGCTGTAGTCATTGCTTGTCACTCTGAACTGGGTGATGCTTATATTAGTTGGGTGCATTCATATCATCAATTTATCTGAATTGGGATTTTTTTTTCTTTCAATTTTCCGTTATATAATAGATTGGGTTTAAGCTGCTTCGAAATGTATATTGGTGTTTCTTGCCTTGTTGGTAATGGCAGAACCTCAGGTGTTCCTGATCACTTTTGAGTGGATATACGAGCCTTTCAATCAGAGATGATGTTGTTAACTTCTGCTATTCCTATCTCATGCAAGTTATGCGGAAAATACACCCCCCCCCAAAAAAAAAGGAAGAAAGAAAGAGCATCTAGTTGCTTGAATGAATTGTTATGAAGTGTTGTCATTTAGATGGTGCAGTAGATATGTTCCTAGAGCATAGGAGCCTTTAACGATTTGGATTTTTATTTCTAAAAAGAAAGAAAATGAGAATTTGTTGACAGGCTCATGCATTCATTTTGTTTGGGCTTTGTCCTGATCATCTTTCTCAAATATATTGCTGACATTATGAACATGATTTTTAGCCTTTAACTTTGCGTTTGGTGCTGCAAATATCTCACCTTTTATTTTGAGAAAATGGTGGTAAATGGTAGTCTATTATAAGGACTTTGTGAGTAATTATCATCAAACTAGGGCAACTATAACTTGTACTTTGCCCTTGGCAAATATCAGAAATTTAAAAAGGTATTACTAATTTATTACTTTATGTAGCCTTTTCAAGAGTAGCAGTTGATTGAATCGATTCTATCACCATTAACATGCAATGTCATCGTCGTCATTTTCACTAAGAGATTTAGTTTTATGATTGTATCCCTGAACTTGCGTAAAAGAGGATCCTAGGCACGCTAACAGGTTGTTGTGCTTTTATCCCTTAGATTTTTTTGAATTGACGCCTAGTCTTGGCCGAGATTAAGTCTTATCCATTACTTATTGACTTATTATGTTGGTTAATCAGCAATCGAATTTACTTCCTTTATTACAGTAGTTTGCATGCTGAATTCTTACTCAAGCCACTGTTGGTATAATTATGTTATTTTAATGAGATCTTTCTACTTGGTTGATTGTCTATTAGATCTTGGAAGAAGTTTATATTAAAAGATGGAGATTGAAGTTTCAAAATGGAATCATATAGTCAGTGGAGCATTTTTCTGTGGCATTTATTTGCCACTTGTTTTCTAGTCGATGGAGGAAAGATTACCAAGGATGGATAATAGTTGGTGGAGATTTTTCACCTGTAAATTCCTTAAGCACTTTTGAGCGATATATATGATGTTGTTTGTTTAATTTCAAAATCTATTGAACGTCAGGATGATTCTATAATTCCTTTAATTACTAACTTATTTCATTAATCAAATATAGATATATCGTCTTTCTGATTGTGTAGTAGAGTAATATTGCAGGAAGTTAGCCGCTTGCTTCTTGGGCTTAATTGTGGAAGAGCGCTTGATACTATAACTCTCCCTGAATCTGCTGCAGCTCTCTCTTTGGAGCACGGTTTTGACCTCCAGGTATGAAATATGAGTGAAGCCTTATTTTTCTATTTAAATGCCTGAATTTCATATGTATGCATGTAAATTGACCTGACCTCCAACTTGCTAGTTTTTTATTTCTTCTGCTGGTGTTGCACGAGTTGAGCCATTCCAGGCCCATCAGCTGCAAGTTTTTGTGTTTCTGTTATTGAGTATTCTATGTCAGGTGTTTCTTTTTCTATCAAATATCTTTTCTTTACAACTCAATATCACATGATTGGATCTTTCAAAGAAAAATTTAGGCATGTCTTTTTTCTTTTGTTGAGAACTTGATTGCCAATAAATATACATAAATTCTACTTAAGTCCAGTCCTTTGGCATTCTGCTTGTGCTGACGATTTTATTGATTTCTTTCAGGCTTTCTCATTTCAAGCTGACGGAGAACTAATGAGAGAACCTAGAGTAGTTAGGGTTGGTCTGATTCAAAACTCTATTGCCCTTCCCACAACTGCTCCATTTTTTGATCAAAAGAGGGCTATCTTTGAAAAGCTAAAACCGATTATTGATGCAGCTGGCGCTTCAGGAGTCAACATATTGTGCTTGCAAGTATGTTATATGTGAGCATGAACATTTACTAATTGATTTCTCCCTGAGATATGAAAATCTTCATGTTTTAATATACCTTTGCTGCAGGAAGCATGGATGATGCCTTTTGCATTCTGTACTCGAGAGAAGAGGTGGTGTGAATTTGCTGAACCTGTTGATGGAGAATCGACACAGTTCCTTCAAAGTTATGCATTAAAATATAACATGGTCATTATAAGTCCAATTCTTGAGAGGGATATCAATCATGGAGAGGTTCTCTGGAACACTGCTGTTATTATTGGAAATCGTGGAAATATAATTGGGAAGCACCGTAAGGTAATTACATAAGCTTCTTGCTTGTATTTGCACAAAATATTCTCAGTTTCTGACTTTCAAAAATGGATGAACGTGCCACATTGGGCAGAACCATATCCCAAGAGTTGGGGACTTCAATGAGAGCACATATTATATGGAAGGAAATACTGGCCACCCTGTATTTGAAACAGCATATGGGAAGATTGCTATCAACATATGCTATGGTCGGCACCATCCTTTAAATTGGTTAGCCTTTGGCTTGAATGGTGCAGAGATTGTTTTCAACCCTTCTGCAACTGTTGGCGAACTCAGTGAGCCAATGTGGCCAATAGAGGTTAGTTACATCATATTTATAATTTATTGTCTGAAATGTTAAATTCTGTAGACAAAATCGATTTTGTTGTGCATAGAGATCATTGTTTGGTTAAATTGGGCACTATTTTGATTGTTGGTTCCAATGATATAATGCTGGGCCCTTTGCTTTGATATTTACAATTGATTAATTGGGTTTTTGAATACCAAATAGCAAAGCTATGGCCCAAAAAAAAAAAAAAAGAGGAATACCAAGTAGCAAAGCGAATAGACATACTTTGCATGGTGCGGCATGACCATATTTTGTGCTGGTGGACCATCTGTATATACTGTATTTCAATGTCAACTACGGAAATAACATTTCAAGCTGTTATGCCAATATTGCTACGTCATATGGTATAACTCGTCTACCTTACTCCGCAATACTCCTATATCATAAAACATAAAACAAACCAGCATAGGTTCACCATACTCGTGGTTTTAATATTTGATGCATTAATACTCAAAAACAGAAGATATATTGATAGAGACTTGGTAGTATGAAATAGTAAGTTTTAAATTGAGTAGAATGGGGTGCTTAATGGGTTACTTAAGTGGGTTAATTCTCCCACCCCAACAGTTAGCTTTTGAGGTAGGTTTTCCTGTCCCATTTAGATAGCTATCAATTGGTATAAGAGCCAACCCACTTAAATACTTAAGAAGACCTGGAGTGGTATTTTTCCTAAAATGAAAATATTTTTTTATCTAAAATGATTGTTTAAAACTCAATTTTTTTAGCCTTTTCCTTTTTCGGGTATTAATTTGTTTGCAAACATATCTGTACCTCATTTATCATGTCTCATATCATGCTGTATTTGGAATGTTATACAGGTTAAACTCCCAACCTCTGGGTAACAGAGGCTCCACTATTATGTCAAAACCATTTCACTTCTAAAGCTTGAGTTTTTAAGAGCTCTGACTTGTAATTAGAATTTTTATTATAAAATCCCTGACAGCCTACGTACTTTCTGTGTGTTATGATCTTTTCAGGCTCGTAATGCCGCAATAGCAAATAGTTATTTTGTTGCTTCAATTAATCGTGTTGGTACTGAGATATTCCCAAACCCCTTTACATCGGGAGATGGAAAGCCAGCGCATGCCGATTTCGGTCACTTTTATGGATCCAGTCATTTCTCAGCACCTGATGCTTCATGCACTCCATCCCTCTCACGAAACCGGGATGGCTTGATAATTGCAGACATGGACCTCAACTTATGTAGGCAGTATAAGGACAAGTGGGGTTTCAGAATGACTGCTCGTTATGATTTGTATGCAGACACACTTGCTCGCTACCTCCAACCAGACTTTGAGCCTCAAGTCATCAGTGATCCCTTGTTGCATAAGAAGTCTTTGTAACTATCTCAGACTATCTCTATATGAGTGTGAAAAAGGAATAAGGAAAATGGAAGAAAGCGAGACACTTGCTGTGGAACAGCGAAGAAGCATTTGCTGTGTTGCCCTTGCATGTACAAAACTGGAAAAGAAGAAGGTAGAATAAATCTGTAGAAAACAAATTGTTCCTCTTAATTTATTGTATTGCTGAGATATTTCTTTGTTCAATAAAATCAGAAATGATTTCCTTTTTCATATGGCCAACTCTCTGTTCTGTGTGCTTCAGTATTTGTAGGGAGCTGTGAATTCCAATTTTAATTAACCATTCAATTTATGAATTAAGTGAATTCAATATATATGGGAAAATATAATTTTTAATCTTTAAGGACTAAATTGTTTTGAATCAAAATTTAGTACTAAATCAGTAATTAAGAAAAAGTTTAAGAACAAAAAATTGTATTCTCCTCTTTATTTATTTAAGAAAATTTAGGTGAATTGGGTATTAAAAATTCACTTAGGTAGGTCTTATAATTTAAAAGGCATTTCTTGAGATATTGATCTATTCTTATAAGATAAATCATACTGATTCAGTTCTTCCTAAGTCATATCATGTTTGGCAGGGCGAACCTACAATTAAGGTAAGCAAGTCTTGATTTTTAGAGTTCAATTGGTTCAATTAATACCTAAACTTAAAACGTAATAATTAAATAAACATTTAATAAATAAATAGTAGCATATATAATCATATGTATATGAAAAAAAATTCATAATAAGTCAATAACGATACAATATATGAAGTTTACAATGAACTGTGAAAATACATTAGTCTTTTTTTTCGAGAGGGTGAATTTTTTTAAAATACTCCTCCGGTCCTTATTATAAGACCCAATTTGACTTTTTATTTGGTCCTAATTATAAGACCCAATCTATTTTATCTCTTATATTTATATATTTTTTTCCAAGATAATCCTTCTAATAATGATAGTTTTAGCTAATATACTTAATTAGCAAGGATATTTTAGGAATGACAACACTTATTTATTATAAATAACCAACTTAACTTACTTCCTTAATCTCCTCAAATAAGTCAATTGGGTCTTATAATTAGGACCGGAGGAGTATATATTTTTAAAAACCTTTTTTTTTTTTTCTGTTGGATCCAAATAAAGGCGATAAAATGGGTTAATTTGCTAACTCACCATAAGGATGAGGGTTAGGGTTGGTGTTCTGTGAGCCCATTCCACATAACTCACTGGTTAGGACAGAAGCCCACCCAACCCATCACTTTTTTTTTAAAAAAAAAATTCTGACATCAATAATATATTATTATATTTAAAAATTTTCTTTCTTCATCTATATTTCAACTTTCATGTTATGCATCTAACAGAAATTAAAAACTATTATAAGAAAAATTAACACAAACTACAACGAAATATAAGAGAATATCTATTATGGAAATTTTTTTCCGAAAACAACGGCAAATAAAGTTTGAAAAAATTAGACAGATGTATTTTTAATTTATTTTTTTAAAAGACAGTTTTTTGTATTGACAATTTTATGAAAAAGATTGCAAAGGCAAGAAAATAATCCACCATAATCATGCTTTCAGCATGATCAAAGGGTACATAATCAGACATGAAAAAGCATATAGTGTGTGTGACAATTTATTCTAAAGACAAAATGTTTTTTTTCATGTCTTGAAAATTTTCACTTAATAAGTTAATGTTAAGTGTTAATTATGTAAAACATTTATAATGTATTGTTTTATATTTGTATTGACTCTTTTGATTCTGATTTAGACTTGTGATTACTTTTAAAATTTTGGATCATTATTTATTAGTTTGAAAATTAAATACAAATAAGGTTTTTTTTTTAAGAAAAAGGTTCAGCTTGGTTAAGATTGGCGTTTTGTCAGATACAACTTGCAGGTTGTTTGTGTCTTAGCTTCGATCCAATTTAACTCAATCAGAAATATTTTATCTAAACTGAATCACTAGCAAGTCCAATTTGATTCATTAATCACAATAATGACATTAATTATGGCATGGAATTTTTTATATTTTACATTTTATAACAATTATAAAATGTAAAATATAAAATAATTATGTTTAACTACGAGGAGGGAAAAAAGAGAAGCTTTTTTTATCCAAAATAAAGTCTTCCCATAGTGTAACTGAAGGGCGGGTTCAATCCTTATCCATGTGTTGCTGGATTTTCTGCTTCCATCCCAATTTCACTGCCAGGTTCACAGCCTCATGTTTAGTGTTTCAAGTTTTGTTGGTTTATGAGCGTTTTCTCGTTTTCCAGTGGCGACTACGCCTTCCTTTCTTCATCCTCACATCCACAAAATACAATCTTTCTCGTATATTCGCATATACGACACAATCTGTTTCCATTTCACAGAAAGCTGTTACCTTTCTCCAAATTTATTCTCTCTCTCTAATCCACATACAGAGATTGGGATTCTGTGTCCATGGCTTCCATATCTTCACCTTCTCCACCTCCCAATCTTCACTTCCCAAGCCCCAAATTTTCTTCTTCTTTACCATTGAGATCACCCTCTTCCCTTCCCTTCTCTTTGCATTCACATCATTCCCTTTCTGCTGATGCCACTGCCCTTTGCCGGTGCGTCAATCCGGCCTCTGGGTCTCCGTCGCCGTCCGATGACTCCGTTAACCGGGGATGGGACTCGATGCTCCAGGATGTAGTTAGAAACGCCATCAAGCGGTTCGATTCTTACGTGAATTCTCTTCGGAACGAGGCTCTGGCTGCCGGTGTGGCTGAGAAGGATGGCTCGGAAAAGGAGAATCGTGAACCCGAAAATGAGGAATGGGATTGGGATCGATGGCGCAAGCATTTTCAGGATATTGATGAGCAGGAGCGTCTCGTCTCAATTCTCAAGGTGCATTTGGAATTGCTAATTTATGCATGTTGTCCAATTGTGATGTGTAGTTCATTTTATTCTGTTACTTTTTGGTTCTTAAGCAAGAGCTAAGTCAACTTATAGTTTCTGTGATTCGGAAAAATGAAATAAAGCCGGTGGCATTATCTGCTGATAATTTTTTTATTAACACTTGAAAGATTTTATACGTGCTGTAATTTAGCCAAAAGTTGCGAGTTTGACTAATTAGACAAGGTATACAACAAGCGTGGAGGCGGGAGGGAGGACAGCAGTATTATAATTTTCTAAGTGATAATTGCAATAACAATCACGTTAAGGTCTATGACAGAAAATCATTTGTTGGTTCTGAAGATGTAGTTGACAGAAAGTGCAACAATTTTCTTTCGAGTGTCCAGAGCAAGTAAATGACTATTGATTTAAATTTCCACATCTAGTTTACTGCATATATTATTAAACTAGATTGATATTTCTTGGTCATTCTTCGAGAAGATGTAGCTTGGAAACATCCTCTTCTATTGCTTATGAAATGTCATATGCAAGATGTTGGAATAAAGATTAATTAGAATGTAGTTCTGGTGAAAACAAAAAAATGTTCATGACATTGCTGTTGCGACGAATACTAGTACATTATAGCAGTCATGGTGTTTTTTTTTTTTCCCCCTTTTTCTCTTTTACATAGACCTAAATGAGTTTTTTTTTTGGGGGGGGGGGGAGCTATAAGGGTCACTAATTAGTGTTGCATATATGAACAAGGCTTCATAGCTGGCAACTCTACTAAACTAAACTAACAATCATTTGGAGTTATGTAATGCGACCCACTGGCTGATCTCTCTATTTGGATGCAATTTTAATGCCAAAATGGTTTTATGCTAAACAGTCTCAGTTAAGCCGTGCTGTGCACGTGGAGGATTATGATGACGCTGCTAGGCTTAAGGTGGCAATTGCTGCTGCAGCTACTAGTGACAGTGTTGGAAGAGTGATATCCCATCTCAATGTAAGAATTCGGACTCATGCAATGCTTTTCAGACAAAAAGCAGTTCTTTATTTGCTTTTAAAATTTTGTGGCCTTTTTGTTTTTTCCTCATGAGATTTTATGAATTTTTATTTTTATTTTTTTCAGAAAGCCATAGAGGAAGAGCGGTACAGTGATGCAGCTTTTCTAAGAGATAAAGCTGGTGCTGGACTTGTGAGTTCTTGTAAAATGTGTTGCAATGAAAAGTTTCATGAATAACTTTTGCCTTTTGGTCGATATGCAATTTCACAGGGTGAACCTAGTAATGCTTGCATCTTTCCTTTAATTGCTATTACATAAGTCGGTATAGTTTGAGTGTCTTTTATCTTGAATGTCTCTGGCGGAGTTATTTTTTCTTTATCCTATTTTATGGCAGTGTCTTGTAGGCTGTGACCATGAAAGCCAATAGGGAGTAGGGACCGCCTGTTTCTTGAGAGTTTCAATGTGATTACTGGAATTTATATTCTAACTTATTTGCCTTTATGAGCTATTTAGTCTGTGAATATGCTCCCAGAGCTCAAATCAGTTATCAGAGTTAAGTTTAAGGGGGTAGGAAATATGGGATTCATTTGTTCATGCTTGATATGATTATCATGCTGTAATTAGGCTGCATTTCTCTTATTACTTTATTGGTTTCAAAATTAACAGTCATTTTCCTGTAATTTGGTTAAATAGGCAGCTTATGTGCATTATTATTTTTCTTGCCGTGTTAGTAAATTGCCATTTTTGTGACTATTGACCTGTAACATTTTTAGCTCTCTGGAATTAACTGTTGGTGTTATACTTCAAGCTTAAGAATATATTTTGGCTTTCAGGTAGGTTGGTGGGCCGGCATTTCAAAAGATGCTAATGATCCGCATGGTCTAATTATTCGTATAACTCCAGAGCATGGAAGATATGTGGCAAGGAGTTATAGTCCTAGGTATTTTTCCTTGTCTTGATAATGCATGAGGAATTTCGCCATTCATGAAAACAGAAAACCTGCTTTTTTTTTTTTTTTGGTTTTGGGGAAAGGAGATTCTAGCGCAACTATTAAATGAGTTATGTCTTATGTGAAGGTGTGAAAATCAATTAGTACTTCGGTTTTTACTTTTTTGTTTTTGGAATGATAGATCTGTGGCATTTCATACCATGTGTTGGCGATTACTTAGGAAATGTTTATCTAGCTTGTCATTATTCCTTTCGTTATTATTTGATTCACATGTGGCAAAGAAACCTTGATCATGGTGGCAAACTAGGTGTAGTCATCATCTGTGACTGAATGAAGTCATTGAAAATGTAGGCTTTCTATCAGAAAAATAAATGACAAAAGTAAATTACATTTTCTCTCATGTTATAGATACACCTGACTTTTGTTCCTTGTGCCATCTGTTTTGATTGAATGGAGCCTATGAGGGACAGACATTTCAAAATATAAGCTGTTTGTCTCTGAATTCATGTTAGGCATGATATGACGCTTTCAATTTTATATGGTCACCTCAGATTTTGTTATGTTGCTTGGTCTGTGGCGTCCATGCTCCCTAGTTTGGAGCAGAGTTCCTTCTGCTCCAAAATGCCATTCTTTTAGTTCCAAGTAACCTTGATTTGGTTGTCTTGTGGTCAATTGGACATTAAGATGTTTTTCTGAACATACTGTCGCTTTTGTTTGGGCGATCCTGCTAAATTATGAGACCTCTGGTTTTGAATTATTTTTTCACCATATTTTTCCAGGCAACTTGCTACATCTGCTGCTGGTGTTCCTTTGTTTGAAATTTTTCTTACAGTGAATAAGAAAGGTGAATATAAGTTGCAGGTATCTATTCTCTACTTTCTTAACTTTCGTGTTATTGTTTGCTCAGATATTACAGTAAATGCAACAATCATTCAAGTGAGTACAGATGTTTTTGTGTGATGATGTATCATATTCTTAGAAAAAATCATCTGATCCAATGAATTTTTGATAGTGAGGGGTTTCATATGCATATAGCAGTCAAACTAATTAACTGCGTGTAACCTAAAAAAAAAAAAAATATATTTTAAAAGAAATTCCTTTTTGCTTTCAGTATTTTCCTCAGGTATTTACTCGTCGGTTGAATATTTATAAAAGAAATTCCTTTATGCTTTAAACCGCAACATGCAATTTGGCTCTTCCTCGTACAGTCATGCTTCCTTGCGTTTGGTTTTTTTGGCAATTCAATTTCCATATAGACAAGTTTGCCCCATCCATTCCTTTTAATTTAGGTATTTTACTTATTAAATGTTACTGTAGTCTATACATGCAACATACCATGCAATCTGGTTTTCTTATTGCTGAGTCATTATTTTTTCGATTCTGATATAGAAGTTAGTTACTTATTGAATTATTGTATTATTCAATTGTATTATATGGCGGTCAGTACATTTGTTTGCCAGCTAGTGGATGTCATAATGTTCTTGCCTTATTTAAGGAATAGGGATCAACTCATGTTTGTTTGTTCATACATGCCAACTTACACTGATACTGTTACATCATATGTAGCTCTATGCTAGCATTCTCATCGTTATCTTTTGGCAGATTCTTGCTTGTTTTCTACTTTATATTTCCCAATAAGGGCTCATTGATCATTTTGTATATTAAGCTTACGGTTGATTCTGGCAGGCTGTTTACTTAAAGCGGAGAGGTGGTGCCCAGACCTCCCCAGTAGCGTCCTCTAAGGCATCAAATGCTGCTGAGAGATTGGGTTCCGTGGAGTCACCTGAAGGCAGAAGTGAGCTCTTTGTCGTGAGTACTGAGGATCCTGAGAGTGGTGATGATAAGGATGATGGCTCAGACCCAGCTGAGGGAATGCCCGGATTCCAGAATGTCTTGAAGGATATGATTCCTGGTGTAAAGGTGAAGGTTTTGAAAGTGACAGCTTCGGAGAAGGTAGACAAGGATCTAATATCTAAGGTGATTGAACAGATAATTGAGGAAGAAGAAGATGAAGATCTTGATGAAGATGAAGAGGAAGACGAAGAGGAAGAGAAGGAAAATGAAACTGAAAGTCTGGAAATTGAAGATGTTAAGTCTGAAAGTGACCAGGAGGGAGATGATGATATTGAAATTAATACTAGTCCTGAAACCATTGGACGTGAGGAGCAGAATGAAATTGCAGTTAAGCTTGTCATCGGTGGTCTTGCTCAGAAACTTTCCAGTAATTTATCTGCTAGAGATTTACTTCGGGTTCCTGCCAAGCTGGAGAATGGACGTGGTTTATTTTCATTCACTGTAGAAAAAGAAGGCAACCAGCGGGATGGTCATGGCAAAGGGAAATCTTCATCAGATAGATCAATTAAGTTTCAAGGTCAACGCTCTGTTGATCATGTTATGTTTGATCTTGCCAAGTTTATTGGTAGGGGAAAGGTGCCCTCTAAGGTTGGTACAAGTTTTTAGCGGGACAAAATTTTATTCACTGAGTGCATCTTTGACAAAATTGAATTTAGCACTGATTATTCAGTACTAAATATTTAGTGATGAAATTTAACTACTGAATATTTAATGTTAGAAAATATTTTGACAAAATTGAATTTCTTTGATGAAGCTGGTTCTCCTTGATCTTGCTTGTTTATAATGGTCTGCGTTTTTCTCTTAGGTTCTGAAAGACGTAGGAGAATTAATAAGTCTTACTCTTAGCCAAGCTCAGAACCACCAACCATTATCTGGCTCTACTGTTTTCAATCGTATTGAAATACCAGCTTCTACAGATCCTTTAAATGGTAATTTTCTGCAGAACTTATCATTTTGAGTTTGAGGTAGTATTGGCAGCTCATTGTTGGACTTTAGGTTTGGATCTACGGTTTATCCTTTATAGTGGTCAGCAAATACTTTTTTTCTCATCAGGTTTGTACATTGGTGCGCATGGTCTTTATTCCTCAGAAGTCATTCAACTTAGACGTAGATTTGGTCAGTGGCAAGAAGAAGGTGGGGCTAGGGGACATTCAGATGTTGAGTTTTATGAGTATGTAGAAGCATTTAAATTAACTGGGGACCCTTATGTACCAGCTGGCCAGGTATTGTATTTAATTCTCGTATGTTTGACTTTATCAATCTATTTCTCTATTGAAACTGAAAATAATAATTGCTGTAGGTTTTTGGCCTGGATTTGTTGTTCTGGGCAAATTTATATAACCTCAAAAATGATTAGGGAAAGTTATGATTATGCTTTGATGTATATTGTTAAAGTCACAAAACCATCCAAGGGCCCACAACACTCAATCCTTAAATCCATCCCTAGTCCTTCCAAGACTTAATCAATCATAAACCACCTAATTACTCATTGTCCTTGTATTTTGGTGGCCATGAATTATTCTGTGTACATCTTGTATTCTGCAGCATTCCTGGAATCATATGTATGGTATAATTGACTATGGTTATCTTATGCCGGTTTATCAGAGCCACCATGGCGAATGAAAAGTGCATATGCTTAACTTTATTACTAGGTCAAAGAAAATTTTTCAACATATTATCTTGACGTGGCTTTACTTGGGTGAAGAACTGTGATGGTTAATATACATAAGTTGATTCGCTTTTTCCTTTTATGTTGCTTTGTTGGTTTTCATTCACTTGGGAGTTAATTACCCATTATGTAGCCTCTCTGATACTTCTCATTGATCATGTTCCTTGTTTTCCTTAGGTAGCATTTCGTGCAAAAGTCGGAAAGAGGTATCAGCTTCCTCATAAAGGGATAATTCCAGAAGAGTTTGGTGTGGTATGACAACTTCTATTCTTTTCGGGACTTACCAGTCTTTGTTCTTATTTTGTCCTTCATCCCTCCTTCCTCTGTCCCCTTAATTTCCTTTCTATATTGACTGTAATTAAGTGAAATAGAAGATATTTTTCTGAAACATCTTATGATCCTTACTTCAGATTGCTCGGTATAAAGGTCAAGGAAGGCTTGCCGAGCCAGGGTTTCGGAATCCACGATGGGTTGATGGTGAACTGGTGATCCTAGATGGGAAGGTTTGCATGTTTCAATTTTGTCCAATTGTTTTATACTGATTGCTATATCTGTGGTTTTGATCTTTGATGTTTTCTGGTATTCTTTTTGTGCCGATGGATCTGATTGCAAGAAGCCTTCTGTGTATTTTGCAGTACATTAAAGCAGGGCCAGTTGTTGGATTTGTGTACTGGGCCCCTGAGTATCATTTTTTGGTCTTCTTCAACCGGCTTAGGCTTCAACCTTAGAGTTTCATTGTACATAATTTCATAAACGTGCAAATTCTTCAGATTTTCTTAGGTAAGTTCTGAGTTGATATGCCAAGTTTACATATATCACTATTGAGTTTATAATCCACAATGAATATTAAGAGGATATTTTTCTGGTTAAATTATGAAATCAAGAGTGAGTTATGTGGGGGAGGGGGGAATCCTCAAGGTATGTGGAGATTACAGGTACCTATCGAATGGAATGAATTACAAGCACCCATCTAAAATTTTCAAGTAACCAATTATTCGTTATGTTGTCTGCTGTCAAAATACTGATCATAATGAGTGAAGACCAGTTTTATCCATTAAATGACTACTTTGTTTTTTTTTTTTCAATTTTTTGAGGTTCCAGTTATTTCCTAGTTGTTGCTGAAGTGTTATTTAGATGTATTCCGCAACATGCTAGGGTATGGATTTCATGAGAAAAAATGTACAATGTTTATGCTCAAGTATGTGATATGGTTTATTTGTCCTTTACCTGGTTTAAGGATGTATGTATGACACTCCTTCTAGTCTTATTTATAAGATCCCTGCTCATGTTCCTTAACAGAAGACTTCTACAAAATGCAATGAAACATTATTATTCATTTCCGGTTCACCCCGCCCAGTGAAAATATGGTGGGGAAAGAATTTGCATTTTTGACTTCATTAAGGGTAATTCTGAAACTTATAAAAGCTTTTGACATTTAACTAATTTTATCTAATTTCCTTAATTTATGTATAGTAGTTAAAAAGTCCTCATCATAAAGATCAGAGGGAGTATATCAAAATCTTTGAAGGCTTGTGGAATTTACTCAATCACATTGTTGGCTTGGCTTGTAGTGAAATTGGTCTAGTGTTGGAGTACTATGCAATTTTGCATAAGGACAAAACTTATGTAATCTTCAGTATTTGTCATTAGGCTTTTTAATAAAAACATGTGAATTGTGAAGGAACATTTTATTATGAATCAATTGTGTGGTGCTAATTTGTAAAAACAAATACTACCTCCGGTCTTAAATGTTGGAGAATTTTAGGACATTTTCTTTAGTCCAAAGTATAAGAAACAGAGCTCTTGTCTAGTGCATTAATTACATTATTCCAATTTTGTCTTCATTAAATTGGGAGTGTAATTAAGAATCATTAAATGTAAGGCACAAGTTTAGACATTGAATTGGGGGTATTTGTGGGAAAAAAAAATTAACTTCTGACATATTTAGGAAGGGTAACCGCTTTTCTTAATCTTAATAAGTTTTTTCCCCCCCTCATACTCAAAAACGGAGACAGTATCTATTTCTTTTTTTTTAAAAAAAAAAAATTTAATTAAAGAGCATGACGGCAAACATACAAAATACTCTGCGTAAGTTTTTTTCCTTCTGCTCAAGATGTAAATATGATCATGGCAGATTGTCGCCACTCCTAGTTTTCTTATGTGAGAATAATCATTAAGTAACATGATTCTTCTCAGATTAAGAGGAAATCCTCTATGGCTACATCCCTAACCATCATTACTAATTTTTGTAGAGAAAGTAACACCTTGGACTGGACATTGGTTAACCATATTTCCTGTAACTGGCATGGTTTACTATCTGTAGAACACTTTTGCTTGAGCTCTGAACGTTTTAGAACTCGTGTACCGGGAAATATTTTTACTTTTAGACAGATAACACATATATACATAATGTAATTAAACTCTCGTGTCCTGCCCACAAGATGCTGAGGTAAGTGGTTCATTAAAACTGAAATTCATCTTCAATCCCTTTTGCATATGAACTGTGAATCCCTTTTTGTGTGTGTGTGTGTGTGGAAGTTTTCACTCTTTTTGGTTGTGAATTTCGCTAGAATTACCATACTTAGTGGCGAATTCTGAAAGCTGCTTCTTTTTTCTGGGAAGGTTCCGGTCATTGCTGATTGTTGACCACTCTTTAGTCTTGAGACGGAAAGGGGACATCATTAGTCACTGCTGGATCTTCCGAGTGAGGCATCTGTCACATAATTTTAACTTGTAATAGCTGTTTTATCCGAGCCAACATCAATTTTCTATGATGCAGGCTGCATTTTTATTTTATTTTCTGTACAGCTTTTGAAGAATTTTGTCTCAGCTTCCTTCCGAGCATCATAAAAAATGGGAATTTGGCTTCTTGCTGTCTGGTTCTAACTTAAGTATGGCAGACCGGGGCATCATAAACTTAGATGGTGGAGCTTTGACTAACTGTAGGTTGAAGGAAGAATATGGAAAAGACCAGAACAAAGGCATAATGTATTGGTTTCTTCACTGCCAAATCCTGTTCTTAAAGATAGAATGTATGCTTGCTTAGCATATGCAGGTTTCCATTCTATTTTGATCTTTTTTTTTTCAAAGGATTAAACTTAATGCCTTTACATATGTTCCCATAAAGTCAAAATAAGTATCATATTTATGTCAGGAGTTGACTGATATAAGGGCATAATCTTATCAGTGAAGTAGGCATTTAGGCAGATTGGATCCCTAAAGAAGCAACTAGATATTGGATTTCATGTCTTACATGAAGTTGAAGTTTGAGAAATAGTTCCATTATCAATGGCTTGTGAATTGTGCAACTTGCTGCTAGTGTTATACTTTTTTGGTCTTTTATATAAAACCTAATTATTGTGTCGATCTTGGTCTTAAATATAGGACATATTTTTCATATTTATTAATTTTCCTAAATTACCCATTGATACTCCCTTGATCATAATCAAATAAGAGATGAAAGGAGGATATTAAAGATGATTATATATTTTAAGAAAAACATGTCATATTTTTTATAATTAAGTAATTTACCCAACTTTTTTAATTTAATCAAATTAGTTAAATAGGTCAGAGGAATATTTTATATTCATATTGATGATATGGATTAATATTTAGTTAGAGAAATGACAAATAAGAGAATAGGAATAACGTTTATCTATTAGGGTGCCCAAGCTCCTATTTCTTTTCTTTTGACGTTGTTTCCTTTATTATTTGTATTATATCAGGGAATTTAGATTTGAGAATAAAAAATATGAGCATTATTTGAAAGAGATTCTATAGATTGATATTTGAAATATACTTAATCGATTTGCGTATATCACGATTTTTCCTATCTCTTGGGATGCTTGAGCTCCTAATTCCTTTCTTTTGACATTGTTCCCTTTATTATTTGTATTATATCAGGGGATTTAACTTTGAGAATTAAATATGAGCATTATTTGAAAGAGATTTTATGGATTGATATTTGAAATATACTTAAGCCATTTGCGTATGTCACGATTTTCCTTTGATTTTAAATACAGTTTTAGAAATTAATAGAAATAATTGGGGAAAAAAATTATAAATTTAGAAAACGAAATTAAGGTGGAATATTAAACTTAGTTTAGATTTTGGTAACTTTACTTTGTTTTTTTAAATACAATTACTAGTATTAATTATGTACGGACATAATTAACCTTTTTTTTTGTCAGACATAATTAACATTAAATTTAGAAAACATGATGGATAACACTACTATTTGAGGAGCTTGCTGTTCTCTTACTAACCTTTTGTGTGAAGACGTCAAAGGGGCATGAATTGTTAGAAGGACAACAGAAGATTGATCTTCTTTACCCTTCGTTGTGAACTTGTGAAGGGGGAGAACAATAATTCTCAAACCAAACATGGTGTGGATATTTATGGTGTGAAATGAAAATTGAAAGAACTGGAACAATTGCAATATCATAAAAAAAATTATTTAAAAACATTTCACAGCAGTTTATAATAACAAGAGATTTTACCTGCTTGTTTGGATTTATTTTTTTTAGTAATTATCTTTCTTCTTTAGGATTTGACAGTAATTCTTCTATGAAAATTAATGAGAATAAATGATGAATTAATTGAAGAAATGATTGCATGTTAGTCAAATCAAATCAAATATTTTCTTTATCAATGAAAAATGGATATGACCTTTATATACATTAAATATAAATTATTTCATTTAGCGCCTGTTTGGGATATTGGTGGAAATGTCTCATAAATGTAAGTCGAGATAAAATTACTCTCACATATTTACTTCATATTCTGTAAATCACCGTTAAAAAACTACTTGTAAACTTATTTCCAAACACGTTCTTACTTAATGAAGTACAAGTAAACAGCCTCTCCGGGCATTTTAGCATTCGAACTTCCAAGTGCGCTTCTCCTTCTATAACTGCAAGTCTGCAGGTGGAGGATTTGCTCCAAAAAAAAAAAGTCTGCAGGTGGAGGAGCGAAACAGAAGACGAAGCAGCAAGAGGAAACAAAGAGTAATAACAATCTTCCTCTCTCCTCCGCGAAGAAGCAGCGCCCGCTGCTGTACACTGCGATCAAGATGGCTCACCCGAACCGGAATTCAACAAACGGATTCTCTAACCGCTCCAAGTCCAGGCCTCCGTCGCAACCCCTTAGTGTGGCTCCGGGTCATGTTGCTTTCCGCATGCTCTGCCATGCCTCTCGTATCGGCGGCGTCATCGGGAAGTCCGGACACATCATTAAGACCCTCCAGCAGCTCACTGGTGCCAAGATCAGAGTGGAAGATGCCCCACCCGACACTCCGGACAGGGTTGTACTCATAATTGCTCCCTCTGCTATCAGTAGCAAGGTTCACTTGGGAAAGTCGACTGAGTCGAATGGATATGGCGGTAATGGCGGCAGCGACGCTGTTGGGGACGATGGGTCCGTCGAGGTTTCGAAGGCGCAAGAAGCTCTGTTGAAGGTGTTCGAGAGGGTTATTGATGTTGCGGCGGAGACTGACGGAGCTGAAGTGAGGGATGGAGTAGTGTCTTGCAGACTACTGGCGGATTCACCTCAGGTTGGGTCGGTTATTGGGAAGGGAGGGAAGGTGGTGGAGAAGATTAGGAAGGACACTGGATGTAAAATTAGGGCGTTGAGTAATTGTGTGCGAGATTTCATGGCCTCGGACGAAATGATTGAGGTAAGAAGTTAGCATTCAGTTTTTAAATTTAAAAATTTGACGGGTATTCAATGTAAGATTCACGGCAATATGGGTGCATCTGTTGTAGAAAGCAGCAACGACAAGACAGCTGCACTCTGTGAAGAGTATGAATCCTTGATTTTATTTCAATTTTTGTTCTTGTTACGCGGTTGCATGGAAATGTTGAGTTTTAGCTCTTTTTCCACGAAAGTTCTATAGTCCAGAAGTGGAAAATCTACAGTGAAAGAGTAATCTGGCACCAGTACTTGCTGTTAAGTCTTAACACGTCCGATGTGAATTAGTCAAAAGAAAGTGAGTAATCAGGAATCAGTACATGTATACAGTATATTACTCTCCACCTATCGGAAGTTCTTCAACCATAAATGACATAAACTGTCTAATTTCAAGTGAGCCACTTGGGTGCTTGTTTGAGTCTGCAAGTAAAATGGGAAGAGTGATTGTATGCCCAGCTAAAAAAAAAAAAAAATAGTAACAGGATAATAAGAAACAAGACTCAATCTTAGTATGCCAAACCTCAGATTTTAAGAATAAGGTAAAATAGGTATTGTAAATTTAGAACAATATTTGAGCTTAGCTTTTTGGGGATTTGCCAAATGATGGAAAAAATGCCACCGCACAAAGGACCACAACCACGTCTTTTCGAGCGTTCCAAAGCTAATCAGAAAACTTTAGACTGACATATGGCTGAAATGATGGCCTCATAATTTTCTTAATATTTAACGTGAGTTATGACTTGATCAGTAATATTCTTTTGAGTGTGTCCCTCTAACATCGTTCACCCAAGGCATTTTAGAAGTCTAGTGTCTTAATGGCGTCTTTTGCCTTTGACTACCATTGTTTTTTGATTGGATGGTTTATTGATGGCAAGAGACACACTTGACATTTTCGTAAAAAATGAGTCTGGCTTCTTTATCATTTGATTAGAACCTTTTAAGTATGAGCTTAATTGATTTGCAGTTGGTGGAATGGAAAACACAGCTTACAAATGGTTGCATTTTCTGATTGACTGTTTATAGGGCATGGGAATATGATAACTGGGATGTAGTTTATTATGTTGTCTTAAAGGGTTTTATTTTTACACTTATTAAAGATCAAATGATCTTGTGGTAGATTGAAGGAAATGTGTCATCTGTCAAGAAGGCACTTCTTGCTGTCTCTCATCGTCTTCAAAATTGCACACCTGCTGATAGATCAAAGATGATGGATGGCAAACCTCATGAATCTGCAGCTGTAATTCCACATGAGCCTTTGACTGATCAGCACGCAGATCACTTTCTCCAGAGGAACTCTCCACTGTCTGCTGCTTCCAAGAGCTCAAACAACTATTCCTCAGGGCTTCATTCATTGTCAGCTGATTTTAGAAGGGTCTCAAGCCTGGATTCCAAGGCACTTCATCAGGAAGTTACCTTCAGAATTCTCTGCCCCAGTGATAGGGTTGGCAGTGTTATTGGAAAAGGTGGCAGTATTGTTAAAGCCCTTCAGAATGAGACAGGGGCTTCTATAATGGTTGGTCCTTCGGTAGCTTATTGTGAGGAAAGAGTTGTTACTATTACTGCTTCTGAGGTTTGTTACGTCTTAATTGTTTTCTTTTACTTCTGCTTCTTGGATTTCTCTATGTCATTATTATTACTTTTTTTTTTGCCCCTTTTGATGGTGACATCTTTTTTTGTTTTTGCAGAGTCCTGAAGCAAGATATTCCCCAGCTCAGAAGGCTATTGTCCTTGTTTTCTCTAAGTCTGTTGAGGCTGCCATGGAGAATGTGTTGGACCCAGGATCCATTAGGGGGTCCTCTGTTACTGCACGGATCCTAGTCCCAACAAACCAAGTAGGTTGTTTGTTAGGAAAAGGGGGAGCAATAGTCTCTGAAATGCGGAAGGCAACGGGGACTAATATAAGAGTCATTGGGACTGACCAGGCTCCAAAATGTGCTTCGGATAATGATCAAGTGGTACAGGTGAGTATGTGTGTGTGTTTGACCAATAAAAAGATGCTGAAGAATAGCCTATGTTTTTTCAGGAATTTCTTTGTCATTTTGTGTGTCTTACAACCTTGGCGTACAATTTGTACAAACGATTCCTCAACTATGAAGGGCTTGGTGCAGCAGTGGGGAAATGAGGACATGATCTAGCGATAGTAGTTATTTTATTCATTATTATGTTCTTTAACTACCTATGATTTCCTATGGTTTTATCCCTTTCTTCTAGCGAATTAGCTGCATGAATATCCTTGTGAATTAGGTTAATGTACAAGTGCTACAATGCAGACATGCTCAACTATCTTGTTCGACATAGCTAAATGTGGTTTAAGGCTTGTTATTAATTGTAGTTTATTGCTCATCCTGCAAGATGGAATATCATTAGTAGCTACAAGCGAGTCATTTTTCACTCTCTTTTCTTGGGATTATTTTTCTTTCACTTTAAGCCTTATGAATTTGATTTATCTTTTAAATATTTTACCACTGTTCGTAGTATGAGTTTCCCCAAAGTCTTCTGTTCGACTTCACATTTTACGGTTATACCATGATAATGAATATTACAGAAAGAAAATATTTCCTTCCCAACATAAGAGGATATCTACTTTTCTTCAATGTGAAAATTACTCATAGTTTGGCAGCTGCCTTGATGTTGGCTCTGGCAATATATCCAATGTTTATCCTTCCATATGAATGCCTAAACAGTTATTAATTTTCTGTATGTATATCTTTTCCCCTCAGATATCAGGAGTGTTTTCAAATGTTCAAGATGCTTTGTATAATGCAACTGGTAGACTAAGAGATAATCTTTTTGCCAGTACGCAAAATGTTGCTGGAACAAGGAGCATCTCTGCTGTTTCACATACCAGCCCCTATGTGAGACTAGGGGATTCTGCACCTCTTGGAGGCCAACCAGGTTCTGGGATTTCTCATAACCAGACTAGACATACATTTTCTCAAAGCATAGATCATCCTGGACTTCCTCGAAATTCAGATTGTCCTCCTCGTCAGGGTTATGGACATCGCAGGTATATTTCTTCATCTCTACTGATTGGTTTTGCTTTGCTAGTTTTTCCTTATCAAATGAAAAAATTTAGTTGCAGATGGTTCCCAGAGGCGTTGATGATGTTGGCAGGAAATTGAGTTCTCTTAACTGTGGCTTAGAGCTAGGCAGGTTGGTGATATGAAAACCAATGTACTGGTTTTGGATGCAAAGCTATATTTTATTATATAATAAATTAAAGGCCTTCATAGAATCACAAATCTGTTATTTAGGTACCGGAAAAGTGTTATTTAGGCTTGTGATGACTGGTGTTGATGTCTGGCGTATATCATATCTAGCCATGTCTGATCCTGTTGAGTGAAATTGCTGCATTTGCTGCAGTGATCATTTGTCAAGTGAGTTCTACCTGCTGAAGCGCATGTGTTTTTGTTTGTCTAATGTCTCCTGTGGTACCATTTGGGTGCCGATTTTGGCATTCCATCATCTCTAGTGAAATTGTAGTGTTATAAAATGTTTCTCCAATGGCATACAGTTACACTCGACCACTATCTGGTATTTTGTCTTCTCATTGGCTTTTGATGATGATATATCTAATACGAAACCCTGTCTTTGAAGTGAAGTTCTAGGTCTTTTTTTCTTTTTCTTTTGTTTTTTCTGGGTTAAAGTTTTAGGCTTTTATACCCTTCGAAAGTGCAGTTTTCTGGTGGTGTGGTGAAAATAGGCCATTTGACATATAAATGAGGTAGGTACCCCAAATGATTGTTTCTTATCATCATCATCTTCTTCTTCTTGTCTGCAGTGGAAGCAAAGCTGCCATTGTGACTAACACAAGTGTGCAAATTGTGGTTCCTGACGATGTTTTTGACTCCGTATATGGGGAAGGTGGTAACAATCTGACGCGTCTGAGACAGGTACTATGACATAGCTACAAGCATTTTGAAACTTTAAAAAAGTAAAAAAACTTGTCGTGTACAAGTCTCTATTCTTAAGTTTGTTGCAGTAACCGTACAAACTCCTAGTAGAGCTCCCGGCACATTTGTTATATGCATGTTTAGTTGTTCAATTGCTCTTCTTATTAATCATCATGATCCGATATTAGTTTCAATTAATAATTGGTTTATAGTTCTGAAATCTGTGGTAAGAGGAAAAACCAAACAATACTGCTGAAATTACTTGAAATATGGCTGGTGCTTCCTCCTGGTAACTGACCAATTGGAATCAATAGTACATCGGCTAAAGGATAAACTTGTATGAAAACTCCAGTACCGTTACACTGGACGTTGCATGAAGCATTAGCTGAATCTGCACTGTTATTCCAACCTATTGTTGCTTGCATATAAATTTCAAAATGTTCTGCCTCTTTTCGTTAAATTCTCTATTTCTCTGTATCAGATCTCAGGTGCCACAGTTACCGTCTGGGACCCTCATCCAAAAACAAAAGACAGAATTATTGTCATGTCTGGTACACCCGATCAAATCCAAGCAGCACAGAGCCTTCTTCAAGCATTTATTCTCGCCGGATCGTCATGACTTTTTAATAGCCTTAGCCATAGGCCCTTGTTTATTTGTTTGCAGAAATTACTTCAGTCCTTTTCCTAATCTAGGTTTTTTGGTCTCTTTTTGGGTTCTCACAGCAAAATGTAGATTATGGAAATATATAAATGTGCCTTTTGTATCATGCCATTGGTTAAATGAATTCAGGTCAGGCTGCCCCCAGAGCATCAGTGCGCTGCTTTAGGATTAGGTTTGGGAGCTTAAAAGGTCAATATATACTGGTTGATTCTTTAGAATAAACATAATTGACAGTAAGCCTTTACCCAATGCCATTCAGACTTTTTACCTGTTTTGGCATTGTGTTTTGTTAAGTTGCAGGGAAAATTATAATTGAGGAAATTAATGCCATTTTAAGTCTTTCTGATTCACTGATAAAGGCTTTCTAGCGACTTATATGTTATTCATTTATTCATTTTTCATACATGCAAATTGTTCAAATGTATTTCTTCAGCTTTTAATCATCTCCTTTGGTAAACTTTGATTTGTAGGTCTTAAAAAATATTTTTGCCCAAAAGGCCCTAGAAGCATATACTTAACATGAAAAATTGTAAAAAAAAGAGGGGGGGGGGAGAGAAATTGGCATTTTGAAAAGGGAAAATTGTTAAAAAGAAAAAAATGGAAATTAAAAAATTACTTGCAAGGACTTGTTTACAAAATTTATTGTTATTTGCTTATTAATTATTATCAAAACCAATATTAATGTTGTAACGAGTTTCTATTTCTAGTTTTTCAATTTTCAATGTCTTGTGCGATTTTTCCTTTTGAAAAGAAAGATGGAATATAAAGAAACTATTTAATAAAATATGGGATAATGAATAATTAGGGTTTTATCAAGATATTTATTATTGCACATAAATAAAAATGATTACTCCTTAGTTCTCTCATTGTTTTTATTTCTCATGAACGAACTTAGCACAAAAAATAAAAAGTTTTCAGATAAATTATTATAAATTTAAATGTTGTCAAATATAATAACAAGTCTTCTCTCACTATGATGGAATTGACTATATTGTTTACCCTTGTTTTATTAATAATTAAGTTTTTAAGTATGTTATTGCTTAAAATGTTTCATTTAATAATTTCATTGAGCGTTCTCGTCAGTCTTTTTCAGCTTTTTTTTTTTTTTAATTCCGATGTCAAACAAAGAAATAAAATTGTTTTTGGTACTTATTGAGAGGTATGCCCACAATTTGACTTAATAGTATCCAACGTGAAATAATACTGAATTTAAAAAATGAGTCCGAATTAACTTTGAACCATGTCCCTGTTGCCTCGTGGGGGAAATGAAATTATTTCTCCTTCTGTTTTTATTTTCTTCGTACATTGTTCATTGTGCTTTTGGAATTAGTATTCAATGCGATATATTTAGTTGGGAGAACTCATTTGAAATATCTAAATTCAAATTTAGATCTATATTTTTAATAAATTTTTAATCACAACATGAGAGCTAATTAGAAATTTCTTAATGTTGTTAAATAACAAAAATACTCCTCATAAATTAAAAATAAAAATTGATTATTTTATCTCTCCTAAGTGGCTTATCATCTCTTATTATTAATATTTAGACAAAAAAATATATAAGCTGGCAAAAAAAGATAAAAAAAAATATAAATAATGTCAGTGTTTGAAATTTTGTATATATAACTCAAACCTTCAAAATATTTTAATAAAACACTTTTTAGTAAGACTTAATAAAAAATTTTAAGTTATAATATAAGCAGTCTTTAAATAAATATTTTTTATTTTTAGGATGTAAATATTTATTTTAAAATTTTAAAACATTTTAATTACAGGAAATATTTAATATTAAGTTGCTATAATTTACGTTTCGGTTGAGTCCAACATTGCTAATAAATAAAAGTAAAGTAAAATAAAAAATATTTATTAACATGCTACTTATATTTCTAATTTTAAGATTTTTTATTAAAATTCTTTTAATTTTAATAGTTGTAGTTATATATACAAATTTTAGACACTGTAAAATTATTTATATATTTTTTGTCTTAAAAAATAATCATAAAAGATGAGGGATCACTTGTCAGGGGTAAAATAATCAATATTATTTTTTAATTAAAGAAGGACATTCTGATTATTTAATAGCATTTAGAAATCCTTAAGAAGAATTTGTTAAAAATATAGGCTTAAATTTAGATTTAGATATTTTTGCTGGATTTATTTGGAATTCTCCTATTTGGTTCTACTCTTTTAAAATGAGAGCACAATGGTAATTTTTTTTTGGGGAAAATGATACAGAAAATCTTGAATACATGAAATCTCAACTTGGGAAGCTAACGCCTTAAAATGACAGAGGAGGAAAGCCTAAATTGTCATTTTAAAAATGTGATGAAATAACAAAAATACCCTATATTAAAAAAAATTTGAAAAAATCCCAACTTCTCACCGGAGACTTGCTGGCCAGTATATATTTATTCAAAATATTAACTATTTATTAAGTCTTGATGTTAAAAAAAAAAATGTAACTTATTAATCTCAATTTGAAAGTTGTTAAAATGTGATATTAGTTTCCAAGTCAAAATTTGTTACTAGCTATTGAAAGGTAGTTAATATCCATTTTAAAGTTGTTAATAACTTGAAAAAGTGACTTGTTATTATCAAAAGTTATTAAAATAAAATAACCTTCCTCTAGCTTGTCCAACGCAACAAGTTGTTGACCAATTCAAATAGGCTAAAGAGAGGTATGACTTTTAACAATCACTGTGAAATCTGCAAAGAGGGAGTAGAGGACATTGATTGTGTAATTCGAACTTGCAAATTTGACTAATTTTGTTTGAACTTAATTCTTCCACCTAAGAAGCAGTAGTTATTCCATCAAATGCCTTTTGAAAAGTGGCTGTAGCACTTTCTTAAGGAAAACAATCAAAATCCAACATGATGTGTTACTTTTGGGATCTTTTGCTAGAAGCTTTGGAATGCAAGAAAACGTGCATTATTTTGTGACGAAAGGACATTAACTCGCCGACTAATCAATGAAGTACTTGCATTGTGTGATCATCTTGTTAAAAAGCAAGAGAATTATGAAAGTCTCTTAGACTTAATATCTGATTGAATGTCTTTTTCTATTTGTAATTTGACCTTGCCCTGTACCCTCTTGTACATATTTTGAAATAAAATTATCTTCCATTAACAAAAAAATTGAGATTTTTGTGTAATTGGAGGATTTGTCGATTTATTAAGGCTTCGAATGAATTAGTCAAGCTAATAGATGATTGAATTAAAAATGGGGATGAAGAACCGGGGTTAGAAAATAGAAATGGGATATTTAGGTTATAGAGTTAGTGTTTATCATGCCGTTTGGCTTTTGAATTAATGTATAATTGTGTTAATTATGTAGTTTAATCTTAAATTTGTGGTGTTTGATATTGTTCCCTCTCAAGCTTGCTATAAGCTACTAAGGGGTGAGATAACCATGAGTAATTTATATTGTACCCTTGTATGTGGTTGTAAGTATGATTTTGATGCGCACACATATCTATCTATGTGTGTATAAGCATGAATATGCTTACGTTGATAGGAGATAAACTATTATTTCATGAAAATTATGATTTATTAATGTTATTGATTAATGTAATTTATTATATGTGGTTTATATATTTGTAATATTTTATAGGCAATGGTTCTCAACGTGGATATTAAAGGAGGGCTCTCAACTTCGAGGTTCTATGCTTGCCTTACAATCGCCTCACTTTGTTTAGACATGTAATAACTAATAGCTAATTAAATCTAATTAATACCCATATAAAAATTGTGAATAACCTGAAAGAGTTACTTGTTATTTGTTAAACGACTAAAAGTTATTACTGTTCTGATCCTTAATATAGGATCCAATTCTTAAGTTAGTTTTGGTTCTAAATATAAGATTCATTTATCATATTTATCATTTTTCTTTAAATTACCCATGTGGATACTTCCTCAACTATAATCAAGTAGAAGAAGGAGAAGGGATATTAAGAAAGATTATTATGGTATTTTAGGAAAAATGTGTCACTTTTTTTTTTATAATTAACTAACTTACCTAACTTTTTAAATCTAATCAAATTAGTTAAATGATTCTTATATTAAGGATCGGAGGAGTAATATGTAATGAAGTGTAGTTAAGACTAATACAAAATTTGTAAATAATCTAAAAATGTGACTTTGTTACTTGGTAAATGAAAGTTATTAGTATCTGATGAAATGTAGTCAAAACTAGTATAAAAGTTGTGAATGATTTGAAAGAGTGATATTATCTAAATTCCTACATTTTAGATGATAATAATAACTTTTCAATTCATTTTAACAATTTTAAGTCCAGATTTAACGACAAAATTTGGGAAAAGGAGGGGGAAAAATTCATATTTTTAGAAAATGCTCTGTTTCCAAACTTTAGCTAGTAATAACAAATTTTTAATTTATTTTATTAATTTTTGAATAGAAATGATAACTGAGAGTATTTGTGTATTTTTTGCTTGAATTTCAAAATTCTACTTTAGTGTTGTGTTCCTAATTACTATACTGTGACTTCTAATTTCAAAGAAAAATATAATGTGCAGTTGTTAAATTTAGAATTTTAATGAATTTAACTAATTAACTTAATTTTTTATATATGCTCACTAAAATTGTATTAATTTTATGACAATTCTTGTTATTATCAAATATTATTATTGGTTAAATTTACAATATATCATGTCCAATAATTTCAACCAAAATTAGCCACAATTGATTTTTCAATAAAAAACTACAAAAGCCACGCGTAACTTGATCACAATAATCTTAATTTTCATTAAAATCCCGAGGAGCTAGGTGGAAACTAGAAGGGAGGCTCTTGCAATTGCAGGAGCCTTGGGTGGGATGTGATTCTGTACTTTCTATTTTTTCTCCCCCCGTTTCAGCTATTTTTCCAGAATTTTTAAATTCACTTTTCCCATTTTCGTTTCAGCACTCACGATTTATTTTTAGAGCTGCAACAGGAGACTTTTCCAGGCCAGTGAAATCTCAAAATCCAAAGCTTTCAATATTTTTCCATTCCTGTCATCGTGAATAGTGTTCCTATAATACGGTTCCCTGTATACACTATAGTATCACTTCACTCACACTCTTCTTAGGGTTAGCTAGTTTCACAGAGGGAGAGCTTCAATTTCTTGTGAATTTGTGGTGATTCTACTGTTCAGTCTCTGTATTCTTTTTCGGAAAAAGAAGAACTTGGACCTATTTCTGGAGAAAATCCCACTGAGGGTGTGTCATATAGGTGATTGATTCTTGGGAAATGGGTACTATGAATCCACAGCCACTGCAAGCACGGCCTTTCGAGGACGGAGAACTGCAACTGGTGCAGGTTCCCATGCAGGTGGATGGTGTCGAAGATGGATTGAATGCTCAGTGTGTCAATGGACGTCGTGACGAGGTCAGTGACGGGGTAGAAGAAGCTCGGGTGAGTTCTGGGTTATCGGGGACAAATGGTTGTGCTTTCAAGTCTCGAACCAGTGAACTCACCATTTCATTTGAAGGCGAGGTCTATGTCTTCCCCGCTGTTACGCCGGAAAAGGTTCTTTACCTCCTCTATTGTGATTTCTGTAGGCTCTCATCACAGATTGATTGTCAGAAAACCATCGAAGTATTTTACTCATTTTTATTAGAAAAAATGTAGAATCTTTAAATTTTATGAGAAAAACACATATTGGAACTCCTGTAGATATAACAAGGTGCCATTTTCCTGTCTCCCTTTGCCTTTTTATTTTTGGGTTATGAACTGTCAAATGCTGAACCCAAACTTCCCTCTGAGTTGCATCTTTATAAAGAGACAGCTTAATCAGTTTATGCCCCGTTAATTGGCCGGTATTGGTGTCTGTTTGCCAAGTTCGTTTGTTTCATTAAGCTTAAAAAAAACTGCATCAAATGCGAAGGAGGACAATGGGCAAGTGATGTAGAGCAGGAATTCTATATTAAAAATCAGAATTTTGAACGAGCGGCCCCCCCCCCCCCCAACCACCCAAAAAAAAAAAAACCCACCACGACCTTTCCTTTTTAGGCTAGATGAGATTTTCAGGTCTCCACCCTCGCGAATCCTCCATTGGAAAAGGGGGGTGGGGTGGTTTGGGAATTGGAAAAGAGGGGTGAGGGTGGCTTGAATTTACACATTCAGTTATATTGGTCTTTTGTGAATGCTCCCCCTACTGGTTTGGGATTAACCTGATCTTTCTAGGACCTGTATGGAGTCTAGGTTCCAAATGTTTGATCTTGAATTTACTCATATGCATAGCCATAGACCTTTTGTAACCGAAACAAAGGTGGACATTTTATTTTATAAAAAAACTTTGGTTTATAATTTTTCTTCCCTTTGTCTTTATTTGACAGTTTGGAAGTGATTAGATATTATTGGGTTGATGATCCCCTGTTATCTGAATTACAGGTACAGGCCGTATTGCTATTGTTGGGAGGGTGTGAGATGTCCAGCCCCTGTAGTGCCCCCAGCGCTGATCTTTTGCTGCAACAGAACTATCAGAACATGATGGTATTCCCGTCAAAGCAACTCTTATTTTTGACAAATCTTGTCTCTTATTTTTTGACATATCATTTGGTGTTCTGCTTCTAATGTGCCAGGAAATTAACGATACTTCCCGGGGTTCAAAGCTTTCACGGAGATTTGCATCCCTTGTTAGGTTTAGGGAAAAGCGAAAAGAGAGATGTTTTGAGAAAAAAATTCGATACAGCTGCCGTAAAGAAGTTGCACAGAGGTACGGTGCAGGTAGTTGGAAATTGTGATACTGCGTGCTATTTGGATAGTAGTAACGTTTTAATAATGTTTATTTTGCAGTTCGCTTGATAGTTGTCGGATGGAGGGAAAAGAGTGCTTTTGAGTCTAGTATTTGTTAACACGTGGGTTGGCTTTACAATGCCACCTTATAGTATATCTAACTGCTGACATTTACTAATTTTTACTCCTTTTCATGGATTCCAAACAAGTCTTGTGCAATTTCGACTTACAAATACATATGAGCTACATAGATGCATCACATGAGCTTATGCATTGAGTTCGTTAAAACTCAAGATAGATACAGTTGGAGTTTTAAGAGGTAAAATGAATTTAAAGAAGCATGGACACTACGTGGACATGAACATTGTGAACAGGTCCTTTATGTGTCCATGATTTGTGTGAGCCACAGTTGCGCCCAGAAAGTTGAGTCCATGAACAGCTTGGCTGATTTCAATATTTCAATATTGAATGGCTCTCCGCTAGATTTATGTACTCTCACACACATGTGTAAGCTAGTGTTTTATGTGGCGCAAGTTGATAGGTTAGGTTAATGATTAATGATTAATGTTGTGTCTGAGTATTTTGGCATGCATGGCGTACATTATATGACTACCCTGGCATTAAAAATGAGTGTAGGTATTAGAAATTATTCATTATTGACATTAACACTGATTGTCCTCTGTTCTTGGAGGCCACTGTTCGGGAAACTTATAGCATTTGATTATCTAATAGGATGCATCGTAAGAATGGACAGTTTGCATCATCAAAGGAATGTGACAGTTCTGCTGCTGAAAACTGGGACTCTAGCAATGGTGCTGCTTGTTCAGAATCTAAGTGAGTTTTGAGCTATGATTTTTATTGTATTAGACTTAAATATGCAAGTTGTTGTTCTGAAACTGGTACATGTTTGTGTTAATATGGTTTTTGTTCTTTTGGACCTATGTTGTCAAGTGAACGCAAATGTCAGCATTGTGGAACTAGTGAAAAGTCTACTCCAGCAATGCGGCGAGGACCAGCTGGTCCAAGATCTCTCTGCAATGCTTGTGGGCTGATGTGGGCAAATAAGGTAGTTCAGTTAATATCACTTTCTTAGCTCATTGTTGAATTTTGTCTCATATCATTGTTTACAGCATGCACTGCTCTCCAGAACAGATCTAGTATAATCATGTCTCAACCTTTGATCATAAAAGTACAGTTTGGTGCTCTATAATTTGACCCAATGGTGGAGCCGGGAACTTTAATGGTCAAGCTAGCCACAGTTGTGGTATGTTGTGCCATGGTTGAAGTGTGTAGTGATTTTCTGAAGTGCTTTTTATTGGATCCACTATACATGGCAAATAGTGCTCCCCCCCTCCCCCCCAAAAAAAAAAAAAGCTCTGAAGTTGGGAAGGAGGATTTGGATTGTCAGCTTGATAAATTTATTTATGCCATATTTTTTATTCTGCCTCAACCAGACGAGTAATGATTTTTTCCCCCATGTATTGTCGCTATCAACTTACTCACCATATCATGGTATGATCTTTTGGAAAGTTCGAAGGTGGTCATTACGGGTTTGAGCTTCAATGCCTATGCATGTGTAGCGTATTTCATTGTGAGCAGTTTCATTTTACTATCTTGCAAAAATTGCCGAGGGTCATCAGATATTCTGATCATATTATTATGCTGATTTATTTTCTTCATTGCTTTGAAGGGGACTCTGAGGGATCTCAGCAAAACAGGAAAGGTCTCTTCTTTGGAACAAAATGAACTGGTAGACGTTCTTGATATTTATTTTTCTTTTTCTACTTATTGTCATATTGGTAACAAATCACAGCTACGTGCAGCTCGTCACTGAATCATCTGCTCGGTCCCCTTTCTGTAGCTTATTAATTTAGAACCTGTGCTCTGGGTGTTGGACAAGATTTGCCAGAGTTCAGTCTCTAATTTCATACTCTGTTCATGCCAGCTTTCTGTTATATCATCTATTCTCAAGAGTAGATAGTTGTGGTTTTCCATCTTCGTTGTTTATTTACACTAATGTGACGCAGTGCCTCTGGCAATTCCAAGTCTGATAATGTCCTCATTATTTTTAGGATACTTCAGCTGAAAGGAAGCCTTCCATGACTACACCAGAAAATTCTTGTCCTGAGCAGAATGAGGAAGTATGTTTTATGGGGACTTTTTTTTTTTTGGGTAGTGAATCCATCAAGTTATTGATCTTACAAAATTAAATATGATGGTTCCTCAATTTTACTTGTAATTTTTATTCCCTTGGGACATATATGGTTCCCAATAAAATCATGTGAACATGTTGATGTAAGACAAGGAAGCGAAAGAGAAAGGGAGAAGGAGGGAGAAAGGGAAGAAGGTTGACAAAGCATAATAAAGGAAACAACTTAAGATAGAAGGAAGCCTAATAAATGAGACAAAATAAAGTCACAAAATAAATTGCTAAAAAGTAATTTTTTCCCCAAAATTTCCAGTTACATCTGATAGGAGCAGTTGCACAAAGAACCATGATGATGTGGATTGTTGTCATAACATGGATTTTCACTCTGGATGGTGCTGATCCTTTTTAATATGTTTTAATTATTTCTAGTTGCATGACAGAACTCTTATTCCTGATCTGAATATCTTTGCACGTTGTCATGAGTTCCTTAACTTTTCTTTCGGTGTAATAGGGAAGCCCCAAGGAGACAAAACCTGAGCTGTTGGAATCTGGACAGTCACCCAAGGGGGCGAATGGGCAGGTTATCTTGATTCTGGATCATGATTCTATTTATGCTCTTTTTTTTCCTTACATTTTTTTATCCCCAAATTGTTATGGATGTTATAATTACAGATTTTAGATCGGACTATTGTGAGAAATGCAGACTTATTTTCTGATGTTTGATGGCCGAAATCTTGCATTCCTTGATTAAATAATGTGAGCATGTGTAAGCTAGCAATTGGATCAAATCATCGAATCGTAATTCCTAAGAGCAATATGCTCAGCTTCTTTGGAGATAAAACATATACTATTTTCTTCAAATGGTGTATGGGATCCTTGCTAACCTGAACATAGTTTCTGTAAATTATAACTTATCACTGCGCCTATAAATTTAGGAACTTCTAACAATGTAGAGGAATGTTGAAAGAGTAGGAACTCAACCTCATGGTTGCTAGTCACTTATTGGTAGTGGACTTATTCCTGTGACAGCTTTGTATAATCTTAAAGTGCCAGCGGAGGGACAAGTCATGCGTCCAAGTATACTCTTTTTTTTTTTTTTTCCTTAAAAAAATTGGTTTGTTTCATGCTCTACCCGATTGAATGATCATTTCATCTATTGTCTTTGGTTATTATCTTATAGTTCACTTTTATGTTTCTTAGAATATTGCTTTATTTTATTTCATTAAATGCATGAGATGATTGCCTAATGTTGACCGTTATTTCATTGTCATCTACAGTATACACTTGAAACTGCCGAAGCAGTTACTGACAATTTATCCATTCAAGTGGAGAACCTTGATGTTAATCTGCATGAACAGGTATTATTATTTTTGTTATTTTTCCTTCTGAAGAAATGAGGAGGTATCTCAATTGTCAAAAAGATCAATAGGAAAAAAATTGTTAGAAGTAGCAAGCCCAAGCCCACTTATTTGGGATTAGTTATTTTTTGAGTAATTGTTTTCTTTAAATGTTTAATTAAGAGTTTTTAGAATCAGATTAATTCTGATTAGGATTTTATCTTTATCTAGATTTATGTTGTTATATCTTAGATCTACTCGCGTTTAAAACTCTTTATGTATCGTTTTCAATCAACAAAGATTATCAAGCTGAGAAACATTTTTACTCAGCCTAGTTTCTACATAGTATCAGCAGCCATGGTTTGACAGATCTAGGGCCATTAATGTTTTCGCACATTTAGGGGTGTGCGACTCTGATTAACGCCACATCCAATGCATGGTTCTCAACCAAAATGTACGAAACCCAATTTTTGACCAAACTCAGCGTGCTCTCTCATCATGTCTTCTACCCAGAATAGTCACACTCGATTTTCTGCAACGCTCTTCATCATCTAGCAACCATGACTGAACGCAATCTGTAATTTGGCAAATTCCAAGCCAATACGACTTTAGTTGAAAATCAATCTTCTAATCGCATAATTCAACCTCCACCTCCAGTACAAGACCCATCAAACTTTATTACAATATATAAACTTGATGTTAAAAATTATCTTCAATGGTCCTAATCAGTTCATTTATTTGTACAAGGATGAGGGAAGGAGGAGGACTTCCTTGATGGTTGTTCAAAACAACCAGCCCCTTCAAGTTTATATATTGTATGAGATGATTGTTTCTCTCTACTACAATGCCTTGGTCTTACTATGGCAATAAATAGATCTCTATGAAGTTCATCCTTGGTTGTGTGGTGAAGATGCTAGGTATTTTGAAAATTTGTTGAAATTGAACGGATTTATAAGTTTCTGTTTGGCTTGAATCCAGAGTATGAAGACATAAGAAGTAGAATTCTGAGTTACTTTGATTTGCCTGCCCTTTGGGAAGTGTTTTCTATTGTTAAATGAGAAGAAAGTCACAAACGGGTTACTAGCAATTCAAGTTTATCCATACCATCTAAACCCTTAGCATTGGTTGCTCATGGTATGAATGACAACGACGATTAAGAATAGGAAGGGCAATCGTCCAAATCGTGATCATTGCAATAAGCTTGGATATACCAAAGACACTTGCTGGAAGATACATGGATGACCTAGCAAAGATAAACAGAAAGGTAAAAGAGAAGGTAAAGGATACTTGTTACCACTAGTGAAAAAGACAAACTTGATCTTCACCAACTACAAGAGCAACTTGATAAGCTATAAAGGATCCTCAATTTCTCATGAAAAAGATAGACGCCAAAAGAGTGAGTAGTCCCACCGGTTTAGTGGCTACCAAATCAAGTATGATTTCCATTGCCTACTCTTTTGTTCATATAGACTCAGAAACGTGGATAAAAGATTCAAGGGCCATTGACCACACAACTGGTGATATTATTGTGTTTGAATCCCTCAGACCTTGCACTGAGAGATGGGTTGTTAGAGTTGCAGATTTGTCTTGTGTAGATGTAGCCCAAATTGGAACGGTCATACTACCTCCTGCTATTACATTAGAGAATGTTCTATATGTTCCCAAGTTAGCTTGTAGTTTGATTTCTGTTGGAAAGCTAACGACATTCAATAAAGTTGATGTTAACTTTAGAATGTGTGATTGTGTGCTTCAGGATGAGGTTGGGAAAGATGATTGGCTGGGGTGGTCGTGAAGGAGATCTTTAGTACTTCCACGGGCGGAAGGCAGCAGCAAGACAAGCATGTGCAACAAGCACTCTTCATATTTCTTCTGGTTTTTTTCTGAGTCTATTCTTAGTGAGATAAAGCTTTTACATTTTTGTTTTGGTCATACTAGCATGGACTACTTTAAAAAGTTGTATCCTCAATTTATGAATAAAGATCTTTCCAAGTTTTCTTATGAAATCAATTCTTTGCCAAGCATATTCGCAACTCATATCCAGCAAAACCTTATAGCCCTACACAACCCTTTAATCTAATAAGTAGTGATATCTGGGGACGTCTAGATTACAATGTCCTAATGGGGTCCATTGGTTTATTACCTTCATAGATGATCACACACCCGCTTGACTTGGGTCTATTTACTCAGAAAAATCTGAAGCTTTTACAACTTCTCAATGATATCATGCTATGATTACGAGCTCATGTCAAGCTTCTATTCATCATCAAAGTTCTCTTCTCTATACTTCTCACCAAAATGGGGTTGCTGAACGTAAAAATCATCACATCTTGGACATGATCAGGTCTCTCTTGCTTGTTGGCAATGTTCCAAATTATTTTTGAGGCAATGTTTTCCTCACCTCCACCTACCCTATCAATCAAATTGCCTCAAAAACCCTACCTTATCAAGCTCTTTTGAAAACTATCCCATTATTCGCCTTTTGACCACCCTACCTCTTAAAATCTTTGGGTGTACAGCCCATGTGCACAGCTGCAGCAAGTCCAAACTCGATGCTTAGCCCTTTTAATGTGTTTTTCTTGGCTACTCCCACACTCAACAAGGTGATAAATGTTATCATCCTTCTACACAAATATTTTGTGTCTCAGAATGTTATTTTTGTTGAAAATAAGCTCTGTTTTCCAAAAATGCCCATTAAGAGGGAGAATTCTGGGTTACAACAACACTAGTCATGAGAGACGTTTATAATACATCTGAGGAACGAAATAGTAATGTACAGGATTCAGAAGAAGGACATTCAGATGCTGTTTCAGCACTACAACAATCACCTAGAGGTGAAGAATTGAGCTCCTCACGCCAATCATCTGCCCTTGCCTCACATCCACCACATGATGACCTCGGATGGCCAACTGCCTTAAGGAAAAGGGTAAGGTTTTGTACTACTGAGCATCCTATAGCAGATTGTCTCTTATGAAAAATTGTCTCCTACCATAAGAATTTTTACAGCTAGAATCTTAGATGATGATATTCCTACGAACATATTTGAAGCTATGGAAATTCCTGAATGGAGAAATGCTGTCAACGAAGAGATGGCAGCACTGGCTAAGAATGGTACTTGGGAATTACCTAAACTTTCTAAGGGTAGCTCTAAAACCTTGATGGTTCATTAAGCAGGTTTAAGGCAAGGTTGGTTGCCAAAGGCTTCACTCAACAATACGGAATCGATTATTAGGAAACTTTTGCCCCAGTGGCAAACTTAACGCAATCAAGGTACTCCTATCATTAACATCTAATCTGGATTGGGCTTTACGTCAACTTGATGTGAAAAATACATTCCTCAATGGTGATTTGGAGGAAGAGATCTATATGGATGTTCCTTTAGGATTTAAAGATAGTGAAAATAAACAGTGTGCAAACTGTGAAAATCACTCTGTGGCCTCAAGCAAGCCTCGCGTGCTTGGCTTGAAAGATTCACAAATGCCATCAGAAAAAAAGGGTTACCACCCCTGTCAGGTGGACGATACTCTCCTTGATAGGTGTAACAATGGGAGACTCGCTATCTTGATAGTTTATGTTGATGACATCATTATTACAACTGATGACATTAAAGGACTGGATGACTTGAAGGAGTTTTTAGCTGCAGAATTTGAGATCAAAGATCGTGGATTGTTGAGATGCTTCCCAGGGATGAAAGTTGGAAGATCTAAAGTAGGATAGTTATGTCTCAATGAAAATACACCCTTAACTTGTTAAAAGAAACGAGTGTGCTAGGTTGTAGACCAGCATGAATGTCAAGTCAAGTATTGCCAAAAATTGTCCTATTGCTGATAAAGGGAGATAATGCCTCGTGGGTAAGTCGATTTACCTAACTCATACTAGACCAGGTATTTCTTTTCTAGTGGGAGTGGTTGGTTAGTTCTTAAGCATCCTAGTAAGGAGCACATGACTATAGTATATACAATACTGCGCTACTTAAAGGCCACACTAGTAAAAAGGGTTGTTCTTTGCAAAAAGAAGTCAAAGAGGAGTAGAGGTCTACTCAGATGCAGATTGGGCAGGTTCAGCAGAAGATAGAAGATCTACTACTAGGTATTGTTCTTTTGTTTTGGGGAATCTCATGGCACGGAGAAGCAAGAAACAACTCGTTGTCTCAAGAAGGATTGCAGAGGCAGAATTAAGGGCCTTAGCTCAAGGAATATGTGACGGTCTTTGGCTTGATAGACTCTTTAAGGAGTTGCAAGTACTGTATGATGGATCTATGAAGATGTTTTGGGACAATACAGCCAGCATCAAGATTGTAAAGAATCTAGCACATCATGATAGGATGAAGCACATTGAGATAGACTGGCATCTCATTAGAGAAAAGATAGAAGCCAAGCAAATCGATGTCTTATGGACTTTAGGGATATACTACCTAAAGCTTTTTTAACTGCAAAATTTGAAGGATTCTCTAACAAGCTGGGAGTGAAGAACATTTATTTTCCTGCTTGAGGGGGAGCGTTAGAAGTAGCAAGCCTAAGCCCACTTATTTGGGCTTGTTTTTTTTTTTTGTTTTTGTTTTTAATGTTTAATTAGGAGTTTTTAGAATCAGATCAATTCTGATTAGTATGTTATCTTCTTCTAGATTTATCTTGTTATATCTTAGATCTACCCTAGTTTGAAACTCTATTTATGTATCGTTTTTCATCAGTAAAGATTATCAAGCTGAGAAACATTCTTTCTCTGTCTTTTTTTCTTTTTCTTTTTCTTTTTTTTAACAAAAATGAGGGGCAGATATATGTAAAGTGAGATGGTAAGAGTCCCAAATATTATAGAGCATTGCAATTTTTAGGCAGACCTAGCCAATTCGTCAGCCAATAGCCAGTTTCAAAGATTCATGTGACATGTCAAGTATAGTTTTTTTGGCAAGAACCTTCACTTAAATACTTCATTATGATAAGCTACGTCTACCTATCCTTAGTAGACCAAGTCTAATCTTTCATACAACATTGTTTGACAATTCATGTACGGTGTGTTGAGAATTACAGGATACTCTTGAAGATCTTGCTGATGCATCCGGAACGGATTTTGAGATTCCTACAGGTTTTGATGAGCAGGTACTTTTCACTATCTTGTGATCTACAGCACACTTTACACAGAAAAACATAATCAACATGGTCATGTCATGTTCAACACATGTCACTAATGGATATCTAAATGAGACTGGAAACTCTACCCCAAAGTTAGTTGTCAAGGTGGGAGAACCAGTCAACATAAATACCCTATTGAGTATCCTATTCTGCTTAATGTGAGACTTGGTATCTCATACGACATGCTTATATTTTGTCCCAATGTAGTGTCTACCTGTATTTTCCGGTGGACGTTCTAGCTTGTGATGGAACTTGGGTGTCTTCTGGTCTAGCTGGGGTTTAAAGCCTTAATGTACAAGTTACTTGTTCAAGTTCATAATACAATACTGACTTACAGATTGACATTGATGATTCCAACTTGAAGACCTACTGGTTATGAGGCGGAGATAGTGCGATGCGCCCTCTATGAGTTTGCCCTGCACCCCATGTGAGTTTTTCTTGATGACGACAATTGCGAGGTGCTGGTTCAGACTAACTTTGCTCTTCCAGAGATGGCTTCTGTTTTATAATGACAATTTCTGGAAGCGCCGTGGCATATGATTGTATACATGCAGTTTTCTTGCACATTATAGTTTCTGTATATCCTCCCATCTGTATCGGATTTAATTATTATAATGTGAATAGTTCAGTTTTTGCCTGCAACTTCTTTTCTCTTCCATTACTCTTAATGATGGTTTGACGTTTTCTTTGTGCCAAAAATTCTTCAAGGTCTACTAGATGAAAGAGTAACACCGTAATTATTGTGCTTGATGTATTTAGATGCAGTTAGATGAGTGCTGTGCATTATATGATTTTTTTTTTTTAACAAAACTTTTGTAAGTTGCATGCAGGGACACATGAATAAAACAATGTTCTAGATTTTACCATTTATAAATGAAAAATTGGTAGTGAACGGTTGATAATGAATGATGATTGATAAGCGAAAATGAAACAGTATGGTTTGACTTTGAAGTTTATACTAAGAAAAAGTATGTAATCACTAAAAAAGTATCACAACAAATGGGAAGCATCTAATGATAAGTAATAACAGATTTTCTTGTTAATTTGTTAATAGAACTTTTTGGCAAGTATCATTTCTGTTTCTTAATATATAAGAATGAGTTTGAATTTTAATTTGGTTCTATATCTCAATTTATTTTGTTTTTTATGTTTATTTATTTTTTAAAGTTATTTTTATAGTAATAGTAGTTCTAGTTAATGCACTTAATTAATAAGGATTTTTTTAGAAAAAAACAATACCTATGTATTAATTAACTTAATTAATTTTTTTATTTTATTTAAATTAGTTAACTAGTTTTTATATTAAAGATATGAAGAAGTAAAACCTTTGCTTTTTCCTATTTCCTTGTCCAAATCCCTAACAACTATCGAACTGTCTTCCCCCCTTCCACGTAACATTGCATGTTGGACAGCCACCGTCATTGGGCAGGCTGCGGAGTGTTCTGTGTTGGTTGGTCATGAGTCCCATATGCATCACCAACCAATGAAGAACAGCCAAGGTTGGTGCCAGGCGAATTGTTGATTTTGAGTCAACAATTTTTTGTTCCCACTATAAGGGTGTATTTGTCTCAATAAAGAGGATAGGAGGGGAGGGATTTTAATGGAGGGAAAGGAGATAAAAGGAATGGGAGGAATTTTAATATTACTTTATTTGGATTAATACGCGGGAGGGGAGGGAAGGAATTTTAATGTTACCTTGTTTGGTTTAGGAAGGAAGAAGAGGCAAAATATTTTTGTATGTACAACTTTGTTTTTATATTATTTAAGTTGATTTTTACAAACTTTATAGAGTAATATAATTATGAATAATATTTAATATATGAGATCAACTTTTTATAATTAGCAAAATTAAATAAATATATTGATAATACATAATTAATAGCTACTATATATCCAATAACTATAATTGTATCTATATCCAAAATTTGGTCTGATGAAGAAAATATGTTTAATTTGAGTATGTTTTTTTTTCAGCTTTTATTTTTCTTGGTGTTGTTGATACGGGTAGTCAAATAACTTTTTCAAAAACGATATAGATGACTTATTTGTATGTTTTTATTTTGAATACTTGATTTGCGTTTGCAAATTAAAATATATTTAAAGCAATTTTTTTTAAATATTTGATAGCATATAAATGAGAGAAGAGAGGCATGGTTGAATCCATAAATATACCAAATCACATACAATTCGACGATGAAGGGTAACATAAGATTATTAGAAAATAATAAGCATATTAGTCAACACAAACCAAAATATTATCTTTTTTCTCTAAATTCCCCTAATTTTGGAGAGGAGGCTTATGAGGAGAGGGGAGGAAAAATGTTAAAAAAATTTCTCTTCCCTCCTAAAATTTTTATCTTACCAAATAAAGAAAAATAATTAAAATCTTTCGTCCTCCCTCTCTTTCCTTCCAAATCCATATCAAACAGACGGTAAGAGAAGCCATTCAAAACGGTCCCTATTGCGATTGTATGACAAAAATCTTTAAATAACTCCCCAGATGATCCCAGCTCGCCACCGCCATGCGTTGTTCTTGGAGAAGACCGTTGTGTTGCCACTCCTTCCCTTCCTAAATATAGCAAGCAAATTACGCAGATCATGAAGCATTGTCTTTGTTAGATTTTTTTTTTTGTTTGGTTTGGTATAAATTTGTTCAGAGAGTTTTTATGTAGAAGCACGGAGCACTTGAAAGGTTTTTTTTTAATGCAAATTTGTTTTGAAAATTTAAAATAATAGTAATATTGTTTCTTATCGTTAAAAAACTAAATGCTAACTGTTAAAATACTATTAACATTATTGATGGTAAATGATACTATTCTTATGATTTTAAATTTTTATGAAAAATTTGTACACAAAAAAACTTTTGGGTGCTTAGCTCTTAAGTGAAAGTTTCTGGAATAATTTGGGCATTAACCCTTTTTTTATCCTTTTCAAATTTTCCTCTAATTAAATAGGGGTGTTGTTGAAAAACATCATTTATTAAGAGGGGAAACATTAATTAAATAAGGATATTTTTCACTTTTAAATTATCATAAAATTCTGAACTCTGTATTATAATAAGGGACATAGATTAAAAGAAACTATGTATTATTTAAAGATAAAGGGTGTATAATCTTTGAGATAACTATTAACATATACATCTAAGAGTCCATCTTAGCTCAAATCGTAATGATGGAGTGTAACGCCAGTAAAATTAAGAGTCTAACTAATTTTGGAGTATCTAAAAAAATAGTTATTGGTAACTGATGTGTTCCGAATTTGTTAGACTTTTTTTTTTTTTTAAAATACTACTCCTCCGGTCCTAATTATAAGACCCAATTGACTTATTTGAGGAGATTAAGGAAGTAAGTTAAGTTGGTTATTTATAATAAATAAGTGTTGTCATTCCTAAAATATCCTTGCTAATTAAGTATATTGACTAAAACTATTATTATTAGAAGGATTATCTTGGAAAAAAATACATAAATATAAGAGAGAAAATGGATTGGGTCTTATAATTAGGACCAAATAAAAAGTCAAATTGAGTCTTATAATAAGGACCGGAGGAGTATTATCATTTAATGACTATAATTTAATGTGTATAGATAAAAATGTCTCAACAAATAAAGGTATTATGTGAAAGAAACAATTAATTTATGAGACAAAAATGTTTCATTTGAAACCAACATTTTGGCTAAAGTTTAACCCTATCGCCTCTGCCAATGTTTTAACTTGCCTTCTCTTCCTCTTTTCTAATCATCTTTTACATTGGGTTACATGCTCAATTAATATTGTTTGCATGATTTTGTCAAAACCCAGTAGTTTTATACTACCTCCGTTCCTTAATATAAGACATTCTTTGACTTTTTGTTTGATCCTAATTATAAGACCCTAATCCATTTTGTCTCTCATATTTATGCATTTTTTTAAGAAGTCATTCTAATAATAATAGTTCTAGCCAATACACTTAATTAGCAAGGATTATTTAGGAATAATAACACTTATTATTTATTCCCTCCGTTCCTTATTATAAGAGACAAAAACCCAATTACGTTGATAAAAAAAACAGTTAAAATTAGTTGAGACAATTAATGTGTAAAAAGTATAATGTTTTTTCCAACAATGCCCCATTAATAAGGAGAGAGAGATTATGAGAGAGAATAATTAATTATTAAAAGAAAGAGAAGGGGAGAGAGAGAGTATGAGTTGGAGACAAAATAATAGGGGTAAAATAGAAAATAAATTAAAAAACTGGAGACAACTTTAAGTGCCTCTGATATATAGGAACATGCCATAAACATCAAATGTCCTTTTATAATAAAGGAAAGGGAGGAAGTACAAATAACTAACCTAACTTACTTCCTTAATCTCCTCAAATAAGTCAACTGGGTCTTATAATTAGCAACGGAGGTAGTATATCTTTACTTATGTTTGAATATAATCATCCTTTTACACTCTCTCCCCCTTTTCAATTACAACCGCTTGTATGAAATGTTTTAGATTTATTTATATATATCTTTAAATTCTCAATATAATTCATTAGATGCTAATTTGAATTATTCAAATCAAATATGAATTAGTCTAAATTAAACCGAAAAAGGAATATAGTCAAAAGGATTTGATTGGCAGTTAGTTACCCTTCCCAATCCTTCCAATACCCTAAAATATATTTTGTTTTAAATTTTAATAATGTTAACATACAAATAAATTTTTAATATGAAAATACTACCTCCGGATCTTATTATAAGACTTAATTAACTAATTTAAAAAAAATTAAAAAAAAATTAGTTAAGTTAGTTATTTGTTAGAAGACCTAGTAACATGATTTTTTAATAGAAAAATAATTAGTGTTGTAGGAAAAAAAAGTGTTATGGTAAAATACTAAGTGGTTTTTTATAAATATTTTAGTCTAAATTTAAACAAAAAAAGAAATATAATCAAAAGATTTGATTGGCAGTTTGTTACCCCTTCCCCAATCCTTCCAATACCCTAAAATTATATTTTGTTTTAAATTTTTAATAATGTTAACATACAAATAACTTTTTAGTACGAAAATAATATGATTTTTTAATAGAAAAATCATTAGCGTTGTAGGAAAAAAAAAGTATTACGGTAATACTAAGTGGTTTTTTTAAATATTTTTGTTGATATATATATATGTAATCTGAATATTGTTACATAAAAATTGATTTAGGTGAATCAGCAATTTGATTGTGGTTTCCTACCCCTTCTCCACGCATCACATATGCTTGTGTGTGTAGATAGTTTCTAAAACTACAGGGCAACTCAACTGGAGCTTTCAGAATACGAACGTATATATACTCAACTGAGGCTTCTCTGTCCTCTCCTTCCGCATCCAGTCACACTCTTCATTCACTACGTCCTTCATTCTCTTCTCTTTTCTCTTCCCGAAATCGAAGGGATCCTCCGTTCCTGCCATGGCGGACAACCCTGTTGTTGTGGCTCCTTCTACATCGTTATCTGGGGCTGCTCCTCTTGGCTCCTCGGTCATCTCATTGGTCAACCGGCTTCAGGATATCTTCGCCAGGGTCGGAAAACAGTCCACTATCAACCTCCCTCAGGTGGTTGTCGTTGGTAGCCAGAGTAGTGGCAAGTCCAGCGTCCTTGAGGCCCTTGTAGGTCGGGACTTCTTGCCCCGTGGAAATGATATTTGCACCAGGAGGCCACTCGTGCTGCAGCTTGTGCAGACTAAGATGAAG